AGAGGGAGAGAGAGAGAGAGAGAGAGAAGAAAACGAGGGAAAGGAAAGAAGGAGGGAATTTGGTTCGGATATAGATATGGAGGGAAGCACTTACCCTCGTTTTTCTTTTTTCTTTTTATTATTTGCTTATCAAAGAATGGTTGATTTATTATCGGTGTTTTACCGATTATATATATATATATATATTTTGTGTTATACAAATATGTCTAACCAATGTTTTTAACCAAGCAATCTCTCAAATTTTTTATATAAAAAAATTATCTTAATTTTAAAAAGGAAAAAGAAAAACAAACAATTCAATGGTGTGAAGGACTTTTGGTGTTTGGGCCCAAGTTGAAGTACATGGGCTTGAATTTGGGTCTAATTTATTAGACTTCAGCCAAAAAAAGAAAAAGAAAAGGGATAGTGTCTTGAATAATATAAAGGGCATTTTTATCTGAGTAATTTTTGTAGGCTTCAAGTACCATCTAATGTACACATAGAAGATGTAAAAATATTTTCCAATACACATAGTTCATAAAAATAAAAAATTTCAACATGTCATATGTATATTGGATGTTTACAAAAATTTCTCCATCTCAAGACCTATACTAATTTTGCATGTAATTGTTTACATGTCACCCATATATAGATATGAAATTGGTTGACGTTGCCCTTGTGTGAGGGCACGGCTGTGGGTTTTTTTTTTCCCCAATCCATGTACATATCTTGATATTATCGATATTGATGCTTTGTCCAAATGCTGATGAAGAGAGTGAAATTCTCGACGCCAAAATTTTTCCGATATTATCCTTGGAATTATCGATAATTAGATGGATAGATTCCAAAATACCATCTTCCTAAAAAAGCGATAATATTAGTCATTTTCGTTGATATTATAGATATTTTAGACCTTGATAAGAATCAATTTCCCAGCCAGGGAAAGTTGTCAGACCAGCGAATGATATGTTTTTTAATACCTAAATACCTTCCAATTGTACTTTTGGTGAATGCCCAAAACAGAAGAAATAGCTTCTTTTGTAGGTCCAATAATTGACGGATGCGTAAAAGATATGTAAATGCGACTTGGTAATGATTTGTAAACCTGATGTGATGTTGCTAGTCGTGGTGAACATGAGAAACTTTCATATCATGAAAATTCAAATGTAAATAATTTTGAAGCATCTTCCACCGATTGTATGGTTGGGGTCTTATTTTTATCCTAACTCTAATTTAATTTCTCCAAACTCTAATTTTCATCAATCAGAGGTTTGAGATGCTTCATTCAAATAAAAATTTGTGGTATCTTACAACTCATGATATGTACTCAAATTCCAACCCAGTAATACTAAACAATGATTTAGGTCAAAGGAAATCTTTTTTTTCCCCCAAATATTTCTTTTAAGTACATCACCTTCACTATCTATTCTACTTGAATAAATGGGCTAGATCAGGATCAGCCAAGTCCACATCCAACCATCCATTCAGATGCATGTACTCAATATAATGATCTGGGGGCTTCACAGCACGAGGTTTAGCTGGTGTAAAGCCGTGAATCCTCTCAAGATCTCGAGCAAGCCACCTAACATATGTACGGTCCAACGGAGGAACAACTTTCAAGAAAATTTCTTCGCTTTCTTGCTTCACAGGCTTGTTTCCCATGTTTGGAGAACCTGGCCAGCTTCAGAAAATGCAGTCAGTTAGTTGATGGCACATAAAATTTAATCAGTGAAAAAACAACGGCACAACCTTTATTTCCCTTTCTGACTATCTAAACAAAAAAGTCATGTTAAAGTTTGTAAAAAAGGAAGACAATCATGTAAGAGTTTTGCAGGCTGCATCGAGCCACAGTTTTCTAATATAGCATATGTGAATGGAGCAAACACATGGGTGGATTAGTAATTCGCTTATAATTTTCTGTGTCTAGGCTTTTAAGATTACACAAAGACTAATGCGAATAACTGAAAAGTCCTGAGGATTTGGAAAAATCACAAGTACCAACACAAAAGTTAAAAATTAAGATTAAAAAAAAAAAAAGAAGAAGTCACACAGCATCTTTAAACCATATGATCTCAGCAGCCTTCTTAAACACTGTTTCTTAAAATTTTTGACCAATTACAAACATAATCTTAACAGTAAGTGTAATAACAGTATAAGTTATATGCTGCTTCAAACGATTGCTAATGATAAGTCTGAAACAAGGCACCAATCTTTATGCACATGCGGCTAAATCTATGAAAGCAACTTATACATTTATAAATCCCTAAAGGTTGCTGGCCCATCATACGAACAGACCATAATTATATGACTACCATGCTCATAGAACATTGCTGTTTAATTTCTACTTTCTCTGCATGAAAAATAGAAAGACTGTTCATCTTTTCATCTGAGAAACAGAGAAAAGCTCTTCCTCATATCCAGGGACTGAAAACATTACCATGTCACTGTCAGCAGAACAGCGTACAACAAGTTAGATACTCATTCAAATTTCTTAAGAGGCAATTGACCAAAACATACTTTCAATGTTAGTTCTAGGGGATGATTAGTCAGAAGCAGCCAAGTAGAACTGAGTGGTTCTCTTTCTGTAGAAACGGCAGAAAAAGATAGGAAAAATACTAAAATTGCCTTGGAAATGAAAACTGTTAAGGTAATTGCAACTATCATGGAGGGCACTTGCTCCTCTCAGTAGAGTGTGTAATTCACTGATAAAGTACTCATATATGACGCTCCTCTAACTCTGACAGAAGACTTCTCATTAATTTAGTTTGTCTATCCATGTCTAACAGTGCACATTATCAAGGTCCTTTAAATACGTACTAGCATTTAGTTCCTTATCCTACATAGTGTAGCTATTACTCCAACAGTCATCAGAAGCTAAGTGGGCAAATATATGTGGACACTCACAAATTGCATGATCATTTCATTCTAGGTAGTCTACTGTGTCCCACACCTTTTTCACATTGGAAAATCATTTAAAAAGTGAAAAAAGCAAAATCAACAATCCAAGCAATGCTAATGTCCTTTTGAGGCAAAATCAATAATCTAAGCAATACTTGTCCGGAACTTCCATTGCGAAGGAAAAGCGAAAAAAATGTTCTCATTTCGAAAATCATCTTGTAGGATTCATATTTGGCTTACACGAAAATAAAATTTTAAATGAAACAATTGTATTACATAAAAAATATATCTTATCATCAGTACTAGTTTCAAAACCGGTACATGAGCACCCTCCCCCTTAGAAGTGACATGTATATGACAAGAACATGCTATAAATCTGAGTGAAAGATCACATACTAAAATCTGACAATGGAAATAATTCTAATAAATTAAACACTGAATCTATCAAAACTGATCCACTCACTAAGATGAGCAAGGCTATGCCCACCTGAAGTCCTCCCACAGCTAATTACGAAAAGGTGGAGAGATGCTATGGCTCCCTCTCCTAAATGAAACAACAATATAATAACCAATCACAGAAGAAATTAATGCAAAATAGACGTAACCCAGATATGGGCATTCAAAATGGAAAATTTATATGGCATTCTGTTCCAATTCAAACAAACCATTTGCAAAAATCACCAAACTCAAACTGAAACAAGCAATGAGGAAGTCAAGCACCCAAAAACGAAATGAACCAAACTCGAACTGAATTTGGACTTGAAAACAAAGAGAACAATAAGTACGGAACCGTAAGCCAAGAATAATTTCAGTCCACTTACCAGACAAGAGCTTTCGCAAAACAAGGGGAAGATGCAAATTCGGAAGAACAAGAGAGACCGCAATCCCCTGTTTATCTTCGATTTTATATATAAATATTTTTATTTCTTGAAAATGGAAGTTCTCGTAGCATCTGAGTCGGGTTCAAAAGACAACTAAAACTCTCTTCTTTCTTATTGTTTGGGCTTCTTTTCCTTTGTAATTTGAGGCCCGAAGCCCGAAGCCCAAACAGAAACTATCTTCTATCTTTTTCTTTTTCTTTTTTTGGACCAGAATGGTTCAAGAAATTAATTTGACAAAAAAATTTATTGAAGGATAAGGTTTTTTGATACATACATAGACCTTTGGTCTGTAAATTAAGACCTTTTTTCACTAGGTTAGACTCCTCGTTGGCGAAAGGTTGTTTAACTTTTGTAGAAAGTTATTGAACTTTTGTAGAGGAAAATGGATGTAGAACCAGGATCTAATCTTCCGAGTTTATTAATAGACGAATTGATGCTAAATTCAACAGAGTTTAAGGGGGCGATAGAACACTAAGATTAAAAATCCAACGAGTAATTGGAATTTATGCTCCAATCAATCATGTTACGGCAAGAGGAGTGGGTTCTAACATTTTATTGGCTCATACAATAATTTTGGATTCTCTCATTGTTTTGGCAATCCTTGGTTGCTTATTGAAGTCATTCATTCGAAATTCGATGTTTAGGCTTAATAGTACACTCAATAACCGGCTTGCAACTTTTAGTGGGTAAAATCATTTGCCCCTGAAATCCATGTTTTAGTTATAAAGCACTTATCCCTCACCTCAAGCAAGCTCAAGTCAATGTTTGGACGATCGCCTCCCGTTTCCCTGGCCTTAGCCTCTTTTGTATGAAAAACAATGGTATTTTTAAATTCGGGTGATTGTCAGCTTATATGAAGGGAAAAGGGATTTAATGCATTTAACAACCACTGCAGGTTAGGTTACTGCTCTTATCTTAACCACTAGATCTACAAGCCCCTTGCCACTACAAGTTACTTTTCGAAATGGCTGTAACAAACACATTTTGGCTTCTCTCACTGGCTTGCATTGAGCTATTTGCAGCCAATCGTGGACTGCGCAAAAATATTTATGAAGGCAAGGAATCCTATTTTCACTTCTCATTGAGAACGAAGGTCCCATGGCATTGTAAATTAACTCGTTTTGGAGAGTTAAATGACCATGGCTGGTATTCCTTATGAAATCCCAACTCAGAAATTTGTACCTATAAAGAAAAAAAAAACCATGAGAAATTCACATTAATGGGTGGGAACTTTCAAATGTTGCTTGAAAAATCTGAATGTTCCATTCATAAGTCAAGCAATTCAGAGGGCTCAGTGCCCATGTGGATCAGATGAAGGTGGAACTGAATACTAGAGGCTCTGTTAATTATTCAAAATTGCATCAACTAGCACCAGAACATGGGTTTCTGCAATATGAAATAAAAAAGGCATGATTACATTATACCTGGCATACCTCATATGCTGAGTTCTAGATGAAAATATTTACTGAATTTCAACACATACCGTGGGACAAAACAACGCATCAGAAGAAGCAAAGATTAAAACTATGTGATTGCAAGATAAGGACATGCAGTTGGGTGTGGGCGGCAGCAACATACCATCTAGTTTGCTGCTTGAAATTAAGCAGTTAATATTCAATACAGCAAGCAATTGAGTATGGTCAAAGATAGATCACTTGAAACACAAAGAAGAGTGACCTAAAGAAACGATTTTTTTGAAGAAGAAAAATAAAAACCAAAACTAGGAAAGCTAAGAAACAATGGTTTGAAATTAAACAATGGTCTGGAAAAGGAAAAAAAAAAAAAAAGAAGATAAGGGGAAAGAAAAAATTAAGCAATGTGAATCCTGCATCAAAACTAAATTGAAAAATAAAAAGAGTTTTTCTTTCTTTACTTTTTGTTTGAAACACTAAGGTTGCCTTTGGATATATGGATTTGCAATGGGAGATTTGGATTTGATGACCTAGTTTAATTGCTTGCATCAAATGTTAAAAAACAGGAAATTTAAAAATAAAAAAAGAAATTTATATATTTAAGTGATTCAGGGAGAAAAATTGAATATTTTTCTCTCAAGTTTTGAAATCCATCCTATCTCAAATGGTCAAATTTAAGTAGTCTCGTTATCTATCATTTTAAATCCACACATCTAAATACAACCCAATTTCAATATATCTTTGGATTTTTGATTTCTGCTTTTAAAAAAATAACCCTACAGCCAACATCTTGCCATGTCAGTGCCAATATGCTATAGTTTTGTATGAATCATATAATGCTACAACTAATAATAGTAACATTCAACAACGTATGCAGATTTCTAAGGACATCTAATGATGTTTAACTAGTACACATCAAAACATCTTATGTCCAAATGCTTATTCCCACTCTTTTGGTTAATTAGTACACTTTTTTTTCTCCATAGAAATATTATGTCCAAAACACTAATGTATAACCATTTGTTTAACCTTGTTAAAATACAAGACTAACAAAGACTGAAAATGTGCAAAGAGAACAAAATGTATTTCCAGTTGAAGTGATAAGAAAGCTTGCAAATTTTCAAATTTAAGTACCTTACATGGGCCATCAAATAAATGCTGAACATGTGGACCACTGTCACTGCTGATAAAGAAACTCGTCTGTAATATTAGATATCATGATTCATGAGTAATAGTTCAAGAGGAACACGGAAAAAAAAGAACAGAACTTTCTGGAGGATAAAAAGGATTGGTTACCAAATGAGCCATCACTTTGTCAGCTTACAGCACTCTT